TATATATTATTATTTTTTAGTAGTATATTTATTTATACATCAATTTATTTATTTATGCATTAATTTTTTTTTATGTATTTATTTTTCCATGTTTTTTGTAATTTTTTTTTTTTTTCCCCAATATTATCCTTTATATATCTCTGATCTTTTAATACAAATTTTCCATTCCTGTTACATACCAAGGCAAAAATATATCCAAATCCGACAACACTGACAAGGACCTCCTTGCTCCAGGGGCTTGGTTCAATAAAAAAAAAAATTGAATTGAACATTTCCGGGTGGGACGCAGGACAAAGGACGAAGGACGAAAAGTTGGCAACGCTTATGGCAACCATGTGGGCAACCGGACAACGGCCCATGACTGACCCATTCAATTAAGCATGAAAAAAAGTTGTTCGCAAAATAAAAAACAGAAAGAAAATTCAACATTGGCGGCGAGAACGTGCCCCGTGCTAGTCCATAAAAAAGGACATCACTTAAGGAGAAACTCGGACAGTGGCCGCAACAAAACACGCATCACTTGTCACACATACTTAGCAGACATGGTCCGGCTGAGAAGGGGGATTCCCACTACCCACTCCCATTTCCCATCCCCAAATCCGCATTCACATCCGCATTTCCATTGGCAAAAAGCCCCGCCCCTGTCATGTCCTGGTGTTGTTATTGAGGTGTAATACAATTTTTTGCCATGATACCCCGTAACAATGGCAGCAAAGAGAAATTGAGACAAAAAGGATCTGTTCCGGTTTTCGATTTCAACGATTTTGGTTTGGATTTGAATTTATAAAATTTAAAAAATACTATTTATTTATCAAATTTGGTCTGTTAAACTTACTATTAAATTACCGGAAGCTGCCTGGGTGGCTATCGATAATCAAAAAATACTATTTATTCTGTTTGAATATTTGTTTTTAAATGAAAAATAAGCATTATAATAAATACTCTTTAGTAATGACAAATAAAGTGGTGAAATATATGTTCTAAAAGCTTGACGCTCCATCAAATAAATCAAAATCAAATGAAATTAAAATTATAATTATTATTTAGTATTAAAAACCAAATACAAATTCAAATATAAATACAAATATACAGATGTGCTACAAAAATTGCTACAATTGTGTAAAGTATTAAAAAAATGACCAAAATCAAACACAAATTTCCACAACATCTCGAACATTAAACATTTTATTGCCTACTTTTAGACACCCTTTTTAAAGGGGTTGCATTACACCACTGATTAACACATATAAAAAGTGCCATTATTAAAAACCTGAAAAGTTTATAAATAATATATATATATATATATTATAATATATTAAAAAAAATATATACCTTATTCAAGATTAAACCACACACTTCCTTCACCAGTAATCCAAATTTCAACATTCCTGGCGATTTGACAAACCGGAACAGCACCTAAAAGTCAGAGACAGACTGAGGAATCGAATCGAAAAGGTTAACGAGTCCTGGGCACATATGGCGGCATTAGTTTACAGAGGGGAAGGAAGTCGAAATTGGGGGGCGAGGCAGGAGGAGGACAACAGGGATCCAATCGTGGACGACGCATAAACTTGCAATTGAGCCAATTTGTAAAAGTGCGGCAAGCCCATTAAGATGAGCAGGATCCTTGGATTCGGGCGTTCGAGAATCGAATGGCAGCCGGGACACCTGCTCCAACCTCCAACTCCCCACACATCCTGTCCACATTGTGTCCATCCCGTATCCTTGATATGCTAGATATACCAGATATATATATATATTTGTATATATATATCGCAGTCAAAAAACGCAACCCCCTCTCGGCAAAGAGGAACTTTTGTTGCGCATCTACTTTGCATTACAAGCGCCCACATTAAAATTAAAATAAAGTTTTCTGAGGGATATACATATATATCCCTTTTGGTCCTTTTTCGTCTTTCTTCTTTTTTATTTTTTGTATTTTTTTTTTGTTTGTGCAACTACAAATAAATCTAAAACTCGCACATTTTGTGATGGATATGGACACTCAAAGGATACGGGTCGGCCGCAGTTGGCAATTCGCAGTTTTATTTTTGCATTTACATCAGCCCACATGCATTATGCATATGTACATGAATACTTACGTATATAAATGGAAACATATATATATATACATATATCTGTATATATGTGGAAAGCAAATCCAACGTCTCTAAGTGTGTGTGAGAGGTCCTTTTTGGTACACTTTCTCGGGTCAAGAAGGGAACTTTTAATGCAAAAATTTATTTTTATATGGACTTCAAATTTAAACTTTACAAAATAATCTCACTCAGAGAGTGTAAAGAAATAATTTTAATAAAGTATAACATTTATTTATGGAGAAAATATTAATTTTATACAATTTGTAATTGATATAATATCTATTTTAATAAAAAAAAGGTCACAAAGTAGTGACAAAGATGACTTACCTTTTCCTTTAAAAATATAAGAACTTCTGAAACTTATTAATCAGTAAATGATATTTATTTTTTATAACAAAAAATATATTAAATAAATAGAGCATTCCTTATACCGTTGTAACAACTAATACTTATTTTTTAACTTAACTTCACATATACTTTGTTGTTGAATTTCATGTTCGTTTTGCGTTCTTTTGTGCTTTCTTTTTCCTGGATTCACTTTAAAACAAAGCACTGAACAAAATAAAAAAAAGAAGGGAAAAAATAAAGTATGCAAAATGTGAAATAAAAAAAGGACTCCAGCTTCATCTCTGAAGCTCTGGGCACAAAGGATGCAAAGGATACAATAATATCCTTAAGCTACAAATGCAACATGAATTTGTCTTTGCTCGACCGGACTTTGCTCAACCTTTTTTCCCCCATTTTTGTAGCTCTTTCTTCGAGTTGCCTTGGCAGAGACAACAACAAAAAAATAAAAACAAAACAAAAAACAAAAAAAAAGAGAATAAATAAATGTACATCCATGCTGAAGGATGGAGGGAAAAAATAAAAAGGATACTCGAACTTTACAAATGCATACACATTAGAGAGATTTACGTGGGTGTATGTGGGAAGTAATCTTATGCGTCGCATGTGAGAGCTTTCCCTTCTTTATATGTATGCAAATATATATATAAATGTATATATATATATATATAGTCCTTTTGGTCCCTTTTGCCTTTGCCTTTTGCTTCGACACTTATTTTAATTTATTTCATTTTCATTTATGTACATCGCTTCAAATGTCCCTTTTGCCTGTGTGCCCTGCCCATTCCGAGGTCCCTCCTCCGTCCCTGTGTGTAATTAAATAAAAACGACATTAAAGCCTCGCATTCTTCGACAAGCTTTTATTTTAATTGCCCCAAAAAAAGTAGGAGATTCAAATTGGATCCATCTTCAGTGCAGATCAAGACAGTTCAAGGAGCATGTTAAGCCTTAGGCAGTGTGATCCTTGGACTCTAAAGTTGATTGGAAAATCCATGAAAATCTGTGGGGAAAATATTGAAAAGATAGCTTATAAGAAGATACTTATTATCCATTCTTTAAAGGGATTTAATTTATAGAAGAGGTAAATCAGTATCATAATTCATAATTCATTTACCCCATGCTGACTATAAGATGCAAATAAGATAAATCAGTTTATTTAATTTGTGTTAAAGCTTACTTAATAATAAGTTAAAGAATTAAATATATTAATAGGAATATTTTGCTAACGTCACAAGAACAAAAATATGCAAATATGTACAAATCTTTTACAACTTTGATCGTTCCTATTGCAGCTATATATATGTATATACTACACTCTTACATATATAAGTCGGAACGAGCCAGATCGGCCGACTATATCATATAGCTGTCATAGGAACGATCAAAACATTTAAAGAATAAAATTATAATTTTCATAGTTTTTTTAACATTTTTTTTATTTATTTTTATTTAAAGGTATCTTTTATTATTATAGAATTTCGTTTTTAGTTTATGAAAATCGGAATATGTGATGACATAACTGTCAGAGAACGGATGTTAAATGTAGAGGATCAGTAAGTATCTTTCAACAGAAAGTAACTATGATCAGTTAATAACTATGATCAGTGATTAACTATGATCAGTGATTAACTATGAGCAGTGATTAACTCTGAGCAGTAAGTACCTCTGAACAATAAGTATCTATGACTAGAGTAACTATGATCAGTAAGTAATTATGATCACTTAATAAATAATTACGATCAGAAATTAACTATGATCAGTAAGTATCTGTGACAAGTAAGTAAGTATGTATGATCAGTTACTAACTTTAAACACTAATAAACAATGACTTGCAACTTGTGTAACACAACACATATCTGAGACGTGGCCAGCAGCAGTCACTTCGTTCCGGGGATGTTAGAACCAGTTGGGAATCATATGCACTGATGTGCGAGATTTGTTTTGGAACAAATTTCAGCAAATTTCAGCAAAGTTTTATTGAGATACCTTTAAAACTGAGGAACTAGTTTGCGTATAAACGGACAGACAGACAGATATGGCTCGATCGATAGGGCTCTTGATGCTGATCAAGAATATATATATACTATATATGGTCGGAGATAAAACACTTTGTACCAAACAATAATAAACAAAGAAAAACAATTTTTTTTTTGTAATTTTTAATCCAAAGTTAACAAATCATTGGTGAATTTTTTGACAAAATTGTTAATGATTCATCAATCTCAATTTTTGTATTTGTCGATGATGAAACATCATCAATGATTCATCAAAAAACACCGACGTTGATGAAATACTTATAAATTATTAATGAATGCTGAAGATAAGATGTTCCTAGGAACATGTAGCGCAACACCCATATAGAGGCAAAGGTTGCTAGGAACATGCTGCCTTCTTGTGCTCCTTCAAGAAAAGCCAAGTCTTAAACCTTATTTCAATCTTTTTTTATACCGGGTGCGAAACTTTGTAGTAGTAGGTAACTTAGGTGTGACCAGCTGGCGCGTAGAGAGAAATTCATGTCTTTGCCGTCCCGTTTTCGGTTTTATGGGCGGAAAAGCCGGCGGGCACACTGCACTTCCCGAGCGACATACGGAAAAAAAAAGAAAAATAATTAATTGCCTGGGACAAAACGGAGAATTCCAAAGAGGAACGCAACCGAATCGCCAATTCGACACGCCTGATGCCGACCCGCTGACGTCCGTCGTCCGGCAGCAGTTGAGGAGGTCCGTCGCCAATCGCCGCAGCGGTGGAACGCCGGAGAGGATGTGATATGCGCACTGCCCACCGTTGGAATCTCCATCTCCATCTGTTGGTCGATATAAGCTCGTGCCCCCTGTCTCCGTCTCCGTCTCCGTCACCCGTTTCGTCCTCGCCCACGTCCTCGTTCTCGTTTTTGTCCTGGTCCTCGTCTTGATCGTCCCTTCCACTGGCCACCTTTTTATCGCTGCTTCCCCGCTCCCCCTTCGTTTATTCCCCTGGAAAGCTGGAAGGAGTTTTGGACGGAACACCAAGATTCTGGAACCTTGGGAAAGCAGACTAAAGCAGGAAGTTGCTACTAGAAACCTGGCAAGGAACATGAAGCTCGGAACCCAAAACCTGGAAGTCTAGAAAAGCGGAACAGAAACCTCAAATTTCTTTAAGAACTCTTGAAAAAGCCCTCGAAACACTGATCAAAACTAACAAAATTCAAGAAAGGAATCCAAAAACAAACCAGGAATCCCCATAAGACGGCAATCTTTGATAAAAGCATCGAACCCTTTAGGAGAAAGGTTAAGCCACAGTACTTCCTTAAGATTAAAAGGCGTCCGGAAGGCAGGGATACCATCCCCAAGAGCAGGTGCTTCAGGATCTCTGACATCTCAGGGAAATGGCCACCGCATCGCTGGACGCACTGCAGGCAACCTATGTGGATTTTAGCGAGATAACGCTCCGAGAGGTACAAACACTATCACCTCACAAATACATATATAACAATTCACCTTATACTTCTCTTCCGTTCGCAGAAAGTCGGCCATGGATCATACGGGGTTGTCTGCAAGGCCGTCTGGCGCGATAAGCTGGTGGCCGTCAAGGAGTTCTTTGCCAGCGCCGAGCAAAAGGACATCGAGAAGGAGGTGAAGCAGCTGTCGCGGGTGAAACATGTCAATATCATTGCCCTGCATGGCATCTCATCGTACCAGCAGGCCACCTATCTGATTATGGAGTATGCCGAGGGTGGATCACTGCACAATTTCCTCCATGGCAAGGTGAAGCCAGCATATTCGCTGGCTCATGCCATGAGCTGGGCGCGCCAGTGCGCTGAGGTAGGTCGTCCTCGCCCACAAACAAACATTTGGTAAATTTTCCACACTTCAATCGAAGAAGATCCAAGATAAGGGTGTTTATACATGTAAAATTATTCTTGTAATTCATTTATAACTTTTAAGATTATCTTTTTATTGAACTCTGTTAGTTTAATAATAATTTAATATTCATATTTCAGGGCCTGGCCTATCTGCATGCAATGACGCCCAAGCCTTTGATCCATCGCGATGTCAAGCCCTTGAATTTGCTGCTTACCAACAAGGGACGCAATCTTAAGATCTGTGACTTTGGCACTGTGGCTGACAAGTCCACCATGATGACCAACAATCGTGGTAGTGCCGCTTGGATGGCCCCAGAGGTAAGATATTCATATGTACATATCTAGAAATATATTTATATACATGCCCTCCACTTGCAGGTCTTTGAGGGCTCCAAGTACACAGAGAAATGTGACATCTTCAGCTGGGCCATTGTCCTCTGGGAGGTTCTTTCCCGCAAGCAGCCCTTCAAGGGCATTGACAATGCCTACACCATACAATGGAAGATCTACAAGGGTAAGAACTCGGTCCGCCATAATTCAAACTACAAAAATAAGCACTAAATGAAGTTATTTTAACCTTTGTTCCTTAGGAGAACGTCCGCCCCTGCTGACAACCTGTCCGAAGCGCATTGAGGACCTAATGACAGCCTGCTGGAAAACGGCGCCCGAGGATCGACCCTCGATGCAGTACATAGTAGGGGTTATGCATGAGATAGTCAAAGATTATCCGGGGGCGGATAAGGCTCTGGAATATATGTTTGTGAATCAACAGGTTGGTGTTCGTGTAACCTATGCTTTTGGTCCTTAAAACATAACCTTTTCCTTTAGATTATCACCAAAGAGAGCGATGGCACGGTGGCCGCTCAATCGGATAGCCTCAGTTCGCTGGAGGATGAGGGGGAACTGAGTCCCTCATCCACACAGTTAACACCGACAACGGCGGCCAATGCCAATGTGAATGCAAAAGCAATATTAACAACAGAAACAACGACAACAACTAGCTCAATGACCGAAAATACCTCATCAGCAGCATCATCCACATCGGCAGACATCACGCCTACCAATTCGGGTCAACTTGACAATAATCCGCTATTCCATATGAGCAGCAATCGATGGGACGCGATACCCGAGGAGGAGAGCAACGAAAGTCGCAACGATAGCTTCAATCTGACCTCATCGGCGGAGGCCACCCAGCGCCTTGAGACAATACGCAATGGTATGATCCAGATGGCCTGTACGCCCATGGAGCAGCTCACACTGGATGTGGAGGCGGTATGTTAACTTAATTATTAAGTGGTTAATTAGTAACAATTTGGTTGAAAGCTTTTCTAAAGTTTTTGCAAAAAGTATGCTAGGATTTCTTGCTTTGGGTTTTTTTTTAGTAAAAGGTGAAAGACAATGAAATTAAAAGCAAATGGAAATTAGCTCTAATTGAAGGTTACCAGGACAAAATCTTATCAGTTAAATCTATCTAAATATTATGTATTGTTATCAGGCTTAGACCCTTGATTATGTTTTTATTTTAATGTGATTTATTGCAATTTACAGAATGGCTTCGATCTGAGTCGCAGCGAAAGCAGCAGCAGCAGCACGCATGGTGAGTTTTCTTTTACTATTTTTACTCAAATTTTGTTTTATTTAAAATTTTATATTAATATATATTTTAAAGCTATTAAAGAAAGATATTCGTTTGAATTACTTAACGTGTTAAAGACACTTTAAGCTATGCTATATTCGTTTTATTAACTTCTTACTTAAATAAGCTTAAAAGCTACATAAAAATAGCTAATAGAAAAATAGTTATTTTAATCAAGAAACTCTTTTTAAAAGTCATTTTAAATTAAGGCAAAAAATATATAAATATAGTCAGCTTTTGTTTAGTTGAACTTCATTAAATTATAAATTGATATTTTGACAAATATTTTAATATTTAAAATAGTGATTTTGAATCTCTGAAGGTATTCTTTTCATTTACAAGTATTATTCTTTGCAAAATAATAAATGAACATAAGAGTAAAAGCCAAGGTCAGGACCTTTTCAGATTTATAATTGAAAAATATATTTCTTAAATAATAAAACCCTTTTCAAACATAAGTCTTTTATTATTATAATATATATTTTTTTTTAAACTTATTTTAAGAGGCATTCCAAATATAATTTGTCTTATTATATTATTTTGTTCCAAATATTCTAATATTATCTTCTTTTATTTAATTCAAAGAGACACTTATTGCAATTAGGCTTGTAAGAAATCTTTTCCCTTTTCTCTGAAGCATAAACATTGAATCTGCCTGTTTCCCATGACTTTAAGGTATATGCATATACCCTATATACGAGGTATCGCAATTGTTTGGCATACTTATCGTACATATTTCAGACAACTTACTTAATCCCCATAGTTTGACGCATTCTAAAATATTTTTTCTACCTCGGGACGACAGCTGTTGCATGTTAGCCTTTCGGCCAACGCAGGTGACGCATTTTCCTCGAGTGTAAACAATGCACTCACCGTGCGCACCTGGTATCTCTCTCGGATTTATAGCCCCGTCTCTGTCGCTTCGGCAATGTTCTCGGTTAATTAGCCGCCGCGGTGTTTGTGCATATTATTTAATGCTCAAGAAGGGGAGGGGGAGGGAGGGAATCATTTTAAGCATTATTCAATTGTCAATGTCTCTGGCGGTGCCGGCGAATGCATAAATTATAAATATTTAGTGCGCTCATTCGGATCAATCGCTATCTAACGATCTTTTGATACTCTATAGGGATTATTTATGCATATCACCAAAGTATTTATATTTATAATGTTTAAGTATTACTATTAATACTAAAATTTCTAGAATATCCTTACAGCATTACGTTTTAAACCTATTTAATATTCATATTTAGTTTTAATTTGTACTGTTTGTTAAATCAATACACCCCACTTATCTCTGAGTAAGTCCAGGGTATCGGAGCACCAAATAGTTGCACAAAATTTCGCTGCACAATTAAATAATTTGTAATTTGTTGGCTTTAGCCTGGCAATTTCGGGACAGATTTATAGGCAAAGGCATGCTCCGTCGATGCCCAGCAACCATAAACAACAAACACCCCAAAATCGGGCTGCGGGAGGGCGGGGTTATACACCGAAAATATTTTTTTAATTCTAAAATAATACTTTACAATGAAAGAAGTCAAGAAAAATGAGTATAATCTTTTTAAAAAATTATTTAAAATTGTTTAATAGTCTGTTTAAAGTGCTTTTGCAAAAATACTTAAACCTAAGTATCTTAATCGTGTATTTATCACAATATTTTAGGAAAACTTAAATTTTTAATGTTAAAAAAGATTGTAAAATTACAAAGATTGAATCTACATATCGTTGAGAAGAAAAACAATTGGAAATATTGGTAAAACGTTAATTTACATCTTAAAAAAAGCTTGTAAAATTACAAAAACATAATGTGCACAACGTCGCAAAGAAGAGCTCTTTGAGTTAGCAATTTTTCTTACATTTATAAAATAATTATAGGACAAAAATAGGAATTATTATGTTCAAAAAGCTTGTAAAATTACAAGACAACATGCATTCTTGTTGTCGAGCTCCTACTTTAAAATTTTGGTGCCCCACCATGCTTTATTAAAATTGATATCGCAGTTTTCCTGACTTTCTAATATTTAATGTGTAAATACACACACTTCAGTTACTATTTATCCGATTTAATTGATAAGCTTTTAAAGTGATTTTTTCAATAGATTAGATGTCATAGAATTTAGATATTGATATTGATTATTATTAATTTTTTTCGGTGTGTTAGGGAACGCACACATGATGATACGCTGCCTCGGACTCTCGGAGCAACAATCGCAGAAAAACATGATTCACCCGGCAATAATCTCACTTTTATTTTGATTTCGTCTATATGGCGCATACACCCGACCACACTTATATATAGATCACTCATCTATATAGGGGATATATCTATGTATGTACCAATTTGTATATTCGTGTTGTGTGGAAATGTTGGGCAAATCTCATTTGGCTCTCGGTTGACACAGACAGGCAGAGCCATAGAGAGATTGGACTTACATATCCCCCGGATAGACTCACACATTATATACGCACAGTATTTATGTCTGCAAGTATCCCATGTTTAGTAAATGCATCCTAGGCCAAGTCATGATACTCGAAAAGTGCTCTCCTTGGTTCTTCTGAGAGATCTCAGTCCTCGGCCACCGGCTGCAGCGAACGATGAAAATGATTCCGCCCCAACGCCACCCAGTTTTCCCTACATCTCCTTCGCCCTCTGAGATTTCCCAATTGCAGATGCCAACTGCATTAATCATCGCATTCGATCAATGTTCATCTCGGGCTCGCAATGATTTTCAATGAATCTCTGTATCTGTATCTGAATCTGAATTTCGAATCTTCATTGCCTTTTGGTTCGTCATGGAATTGGTGGGTGGCAAAGATGTATTAGCTCTCTACTTATCTTGAGATCTCGATCGAAGGCAGTACCTTTTTAATGGTTCTCTAGACAGGGTGACTTGCTTTTAGTGAGGGATCTCCTTGGGAACTTTCTTCTATAGTTATATGTTGGGTTTGTATTAGGGAAAGTCTCTCGAGATGTATGATCTATAAAATGTCTCTAAATTAGTAACTTTTGTTAAACAAAAATTAATAAAGATTTTGTGATATTTCTAGTTCATTTTAAAGGCCATTTAAATTTTCGTTAGATTAGATCTTGTACATTTTTGCTATGAGATGTTTAATAATTTTTTAATAAATATCTTTACTAACTTTTAATTAAAATAAATTTAATTTAATCTATTTCCTAGCTTTATTTATTTATTTAGTTTTGTTATGATTTTTGGAGGCATTGTACGATTATCCTTAAACATATATCTTAGTCCTTAATATTTATAGTTTCTAACTGTATTTATTATTTTATTTCGTATTTAATAAATATTTTGAAAACGTATTGTTCAAGTTACTACACTATTAAAACAATGCAATAATAAATTGACTAAGCCAACAAAGAAACTGTGATATATAAGCTATATATTCGAGTGATAAAATCCAATAATATATCAACAAATATATCGCTTTCAATGTTATATCCAAAATATTCTAAATTTTGATATATTGATTTGCTTTAATATCGAAAACTATAGCATTTAAACATTTAAATAATCTAATTTGTTTTTTCTTGTATTATCGATTTGATATTTATCTAACAAACTAATGTTTTTAAATATTGCAACTTTAAGACTTTGATTATACATACGATTTTTCTATAAAAATCGATAAGGCACCAGTTATCGATATTTTTAGGGTAAGGATAACAATCCAAAAGGAAGCAAATCCAAATCTCTTAAGAACCTCCACCCTTGATCTTGGCAACTCCAGTCGAGTTAATTTAGGCACTTGATCCCTGAGTGTATAAGAACTAGAGATACCATTGGGAAAACCTTAGTTTAAGATCATCTGAATGGTATCTTTGATTATTTTATGCTCTATGATCGAGTGGCTATATGAAATAGATGCCTCTTGGGTTAATTGACTAAATGACTCACCACATTGACTGGCGGCAGCCTTTAACTTGTGGCTTGTGGCTCGTTCCGTGTGGCAATTATCTCGGATGGCAGACAAAGAAACCACTTGACCAACACACATTTCCCTGGGATGTGCCATGCTTTGATGGGTTGCTTTCTGGGCGTTTTCCACCCCGCCAAGAGTTTGGGAATGATGCCACAGATTTTTCGCTGTGCCGCGTCATCAGTGCCAGCGAATGCGAATGGCCCGGTCCGGCCTCTCGGTTCACCCCGATCCCCGATATATACATAAATATATATAAATATATACACGGGAGATATATACATATGTAGATATATTCAAGCGATCTTGCCACGTCTGCGAAGCGTTTAGAGGAAGGCAATCCCCGATCCGGCACGGCGCGAGAATTGGCGCGTTTTGTTTGATTTTCTGGTGGCTGTGGGATGTCTCGGCTTTGGCCTCAGTCTGCGTCCGAGAGCCGTGCGATATTGAGTGCTCCGCGAGATGTTCCGGAACCGTCGGAATCATTGTCCGCATCATTGCATCAACGCGAACCATCAGAAGCCGTCAGCCGCCTGCCGCCGGTTCCTATCCATAAAAAGTACCCCTTGCTGAAAACCCTCGAATAGAACCCATTCGAAATTCAAGTGAATTTTCCACAAATCGTTTTTACTATTTGTTTGCGGTTTGTTTTCCCCCCCCCAAAAAAAAAAACAAAAGAAAACCCATAAAACACACACACACAGACACACACAAAAAGAAAAGCAAGAGTGTTCTGTGGAAAATCAACAAGCAATTTGTGTGTGAGGAAAGGAAAAACACGTCATCGCAAGAAAAACACAGAAACAGAATAATAAGAAAAGCGGGAGTGAGCACAGTGATCTCTTCTTCTCATAGTTTCGAGAGGTGTGGAAAAACAATGTGAAGGATTTTCTCTCTCTGGCAAAATATCGTGTACAGCATTTAGTGCCCTATATTAAATCTAGCCATAAGGCTAGTTACTAATCCCCTTTTGGCCATAAGTTCGATCGGAGGAGTAGCCAAGATGTGCGATACTCGGGCCCTCATCAATACCAAACAGACCAACGATCTTCACAGTTGTTGGATCATATATAGTAGGTCCTTATTTTTTACCAATAAAGTTAGTTTTTTAATTAACTAGAATTTAAACCTAGTGAAAAAGGTAACTAAGGTTGGATAATAGAATGGAAATGGAAATTAATATGTAACATATTTATTACTTATTTCAATTCCCAGCTATTAGTATTCAAAATAGTAAATGAAAACCATTTTTAATATAAACATCTTAAACTCTTCAACAGTCTTTATGTTTTAGTTAAAAAATCATATAATTTTTAAGCTATAATAAGAAATTATTAGCTGTTAGTTAATTGTAATGCTTCATACAAGTTATAATAATAGCAAGATTTCCCTTAAAAACTACTTCATTGTCTTTATAAATTATTAATAAATTTAATAAGTTCCATACAAAAAGTATATTAAACTTTGACTAAAAACTATAAATCCTTGAAAACTACTTAACTGTCTTTATAAATTTTAAAATAATTAAATAAGTTTCATACACAAAGTAATTTAAACTTTGATTAAAAACCATGAAACCCTTTTCTGCAGGCTGTAATTATTTATTTAAAATTTATTGGAAATCTTCAATTTTATTGACAATTTTTCACACTGTGGAAATATCAATAAATTGTATTATTTTGTTTGGCTTTCATTGATTTGTGTAATTTCAAATTAAAAAGATTTTTATATATACTTATCATATATCAATATATATCTTATTGTTTTTCCAGCTTATTATTTATTTATTAAACAAACTCACTAGTCCATTGTTTAAGCAATTCATATTTTAAGTAAACCCTTTTAAGGTTTTTATTAACCTTGCAGGGTATTATAATTTTAGTCAAAAGCTTGTAACTTTTAAGGGAATCATTTCCGACCCTATAAATTATATATATTCTTGATCAGCATCAACAGCGGATTCGATCAAAGCATCTCCGGTAGCAAAAATTAATTTTTAATTTTTTTCCAAATTTTATAAGGGGTTACATCGTTAAAATTGTCAAAAAATTTTTAAAAAATTTAATTTTTTAAATTGTTAAATTCAGTATGCAGATTTATTAATCTAATAATAACAAAAATAGGAAAGCTTTCCGAATCAAAATTAAAAAATTTCCGAATTAAATTAATTTTTGGATTTGTTGAAAAAATGGTCATATTAAAATATCGATAAATATCGATTTAAGGAATATTTTATTTATTTTCTATTTGATTTTATAATTAAATGGAAAAACTGCAAGTATTTAATCGTCTGCTTCCCGAAGTTTTTCTTTGTTCTTGTTTCTTCTTCTAGAGTTAAATATTATATACTATATGAACTAAAAAATTATTATATACAACAAAATATTTACGCTACTTTTTTCACATATTTATGCATTTTATTAAATTTTTAAAATCCATAAATTCAATTGATGAGGTTGAAATGATTTAAATCAATAATAAGATATAATTACTATATAATACATCAAAAATATATAGAATATATAAATATTTACAAGGTATATTTCCACAACAATACTTTAGGGAACAAAAATTGTTAAACATATACAAAATTAATTATAGAATAAAACAAATTTGAAATAACAATTATTTGATCAATAAAACTATTCTAAGTAGATATTATTAGGTCATACTTAGATAGTTCCATAGTAATAGAAAATCAATATTCATTTTAGTTTAAATGATATTTTTCAAAGTTTTTTTTTAATAACTTTTGTAAATAATAAATAATACAATTCCCTTTACACTTTCAGCCAAGAGTGATGGCCGCGAGCGACTCACGGTGACGGACACCAAGCCGGTGATCATGACCACCACGGATCTGACTAATAATAATAACAACAACATCAACAGTCAGGCAGTCCTCTCAAATGGACTCCTCAGTCACGCAGTGAATGGTGGCCAGGTGACAACGGAACAGGATCAGGATCAGGGTATCATCAACTCGTTGGACATGGCGATAGTAGACGGTGATACCACAGATGCCGATGAGGATGAGAACGATGGCACCGAACAGTCACTGGCCGAGATTCTGGATCCTGAGCTGCAACCGGAGCCACCCATTCCAAATAATGCCGAGTCACAGGAGATCTATCGGGAGCACCGGCACATGGCCAAGGAGTACCTCAGCGTGGATACGAACCTGTATTATGCGCAGGACTTTAAGGACAAGCTCATCCTTCAGATGGATCGTGCCGAGCGCGAACAGAAGCAGGAGCTGCTGCGTAAGATCAAGGATAAGGTGAGTTGTTATATAATATTATAATAAAATTATAGATTACTGATTCATTCCAATTCAATCTACAGGAGGGCCTGCAGAGTCTGTACAACAATCTGCAGCAGCAGTGGGAGAAGCTGCCAGCCTCGCGTCAACTCCATCCGCATCCACACGTAGCACATCCCCATCCCCATCCTCATGTAGCACATCCCAATCCCCTTCCTCATGTCGCACATCCTCATCCACATCCTCATGTAGGACATCCCCATCCGCATCCTCACGTAGCACATCCCCATCCTCATGTAGCACATCCCCATCCTCATAGCCAGCAGGATGAGGGATCAGTAACAACTGGTGGCACCGCCGACTCTGTGGAGAACGACGGATGGGTAGTCATCCAGCCGCACACCAATGCGTAGTCATCTCTTCCGCCGGAACTTCCGACTCTCTAAGTTTTGTGTTTAGGCTATTCTGTAAACTGTAATCCTTAACTGTATCTGTATCTCTAGCCATAGCAGTGCGTTTATCGTTCTTATTAATTTTTTTCTTTTGTTAAGTTAAATTTAAGCGTTTGTAGTCCACGAGTGTTTTCGTTTTATGTATCAGACAAACACCTTATTTTTTCCTTTGAAAACAAACTTAATTTAGGTTTTTAACTGTACGATGAAGCTTATATATTATATTATATTTAACGTATACTTACTTATGTGTATCTGTCCGACGAAGCTGACAAGAGTAGACCAAAAAATATAAAAACTATCAAAAGCAACGACAAAAAAAAAAAGGAAACTAACTGGAGTGTTTTTATTTACTCGTTAAAAAATACACTTTTGAGAAGGGGATTTTTTCTTTAGACGATACATTGTTGATGGATCGGTTATATTAATTTATATCTATGTTTTCCCAGCTCTAGTAAGTGTTATTTGGATTGCTTTAATTTCCAAAATTCAAATCAATGGATTTAATTTTAAGTTAAATAAAGAATTAAATTTTATACCGATAAACATTCATGTTTTCCTAACTCAGATAATACTTTCTATACGTTTCTAAATTCAAGTCACAAAATTCCTTCTCTTTCCCAGTATAAAGTATATATATTCTAGATTAATTCCTCAGTTTTGAAGGTATCTCAATAAAACTTTGCAGTTAGTCTTCTATATACTCTCAATCATATATAAATCGGAACGGGTGAGATCGGACGACTATATCACATGGCTGTCATAGGAACGATCGGAAAATTTTTAGAAAAAAAATTATAACATTTACAGTTTTTACATATTTTTGTAATCTAATTTGACTCAAAACTATCTTTTGTTATAGAATTTCGTTTTTATTTTTTTGAAAATCGGAATACAATATATATAGAAGATCAGTAAATATCTTTCAACAGAAAGTTAGTATGAATAGTAATTACCTATGATCAAAAATTAAATTAAGTATCTATGAACATTAAGTAACTATGATCAATAATTAACTATGAACAGTAAGTATCTATGAACATTAAGTAACTATGATCAGTGATTAACTCTGAGCAGTGATTAACTCTGAGCACTGAATAACTCAGAACAGTAAGTATCTATGATCAATAAGTATCTATGATCAGCAAGTACCTATGTCCAGTAAGTATCAATGATCAGTAACTATCTATGAACACTAATAAACAATGACTTGCAACTTTTGTAACACAACACATATCTGAGACCTGCCCGGCAGCAGTCACTTCGTTCCGGGGATGTTAGAACCAGTTGGGAATCATATGCACGGATGTACGAGATTTGATTTGGAACAAATTTAAGCTATTTGAGTAAAACTATGGATTTATTCGTGTATATAATTTTACTATTATATAAATCGGAGCATGCCGAATCGGTGGACTATATATATATACATATATATATATATAGTTGCCATTGGAACGATTAAACAAATTTTAAGAAAAAAATTATAACTTATATATTTTTGAACCGATTTTCATCAACTTTGATATATAGGCATTGTATATTACTCTAGAACTTTTTGTGAAATCTTTTAAAAATCGGACGACTATATTATATAGCTGCCATAGGAACAATCGGAAAATTGTTACAAATAAACTAAAACTTTTACAGCTTTTAACACTAATTTTAAAACTAATTTGATTCAAAGCTATCTTTAAATATTATAATATTTCGTTTTAGTTTTATTAAAATCGGAATACTATATAATATAATTGCCAGAGAACCGGTATGGTTACTACAGTTACTATAAAAAGTAAGTAACTATGATCAATAATTAACTATGATTACTAAGTATCTATGAACATTAACTAACTATGATCAGTGATTAACTCTGAGCAGTAAGTAACTCTGAACAGTAAGTATCTATGATCAATAAGTAAATATGATCAGTTAGTATCAATGAACAGTAAGTATGTATGATCAGTTCCTAACTTTGAACACTAATAAACAATGACTTGCAACTTTTGCAACAACACATTTCTCAGACGTGGCTGGCAGCAGTCACTTCGTTCCGGGGATGTTAGAACCAGTTGAGAATCATATGCACAGATGTGTGTAAGTAACTCTGATTAGTAATTAACTCTGAACACTAATTATCTACGAGCAGTAAGTAACTCTGAACAGTAAGTATCTATGACCAGTAAGTATGTTTGTATGATCAGTTACTAACTTTGAACACTAATAAACAATGACTTGCAACTTTTGTAACACAACACATATCTGGGACTTGGCTGGAAGCAGTCACTTCGTTCCGGGGATGCTAGAACCAGTTGGGAATCATATGCACGGATGTACGAGATTTGTTTTGGAACAAATTTAAGCTATTTGAGTGAAACTATGGAGTTATTCGTGCATATAATTTTACTAGTATATAAATCGGAGCATGGCGAATCGGTGGAGTATATATATACATGCATATAGTTGCGATTGGAACGATCGGAAAATTAAAAAAAAATCATTGTAACTTCTCCAATTTTTAACAGATTTTCATCAAATTTGATATATAGGCATAATATATAATTCTAGAATTTTGTGTAAAATTTCATGAAAATCAGACTACTATGTTATATCATATAGTATGGGGGAAAATGCAAAACGGTAAATAAAATGAAAGCAGGCATTACTTTATTGATTTTTAACCTAATTATATATCAATTATATTATTAATTCCTAGTGATCGAATTTTAATCTACAAGGGTATGCAAAGTTCGGCGTGCCGAAGTTAGCTTCCGTTCTTGTTTTAGATAAAAATTAAATGTTTCAAGCAGTTACCAATTTTAAATTTATGTAATTCTTATTATTGCCAGAGACCATGAGTTAATATAATAGATCAGTAACTTGCTGTGAGAAATACAAAATTCCGTAGAAATTATTTATTGTATTTGATTTATATATTTAGGATTTAACATTTTACAAAATAGAAACAAAGGCTTCGTCTATGGTCTAAACAGTTTTTGTTGCCGTGTGCTTGGCACATTTACTTCACTGTACAGTCAACACAACACACAATCTCGCATGTAGGTTTTAAGCTATCTAAAAATACAACTACGACAAATATCGTATATAAAAAATATTCGTTTACCTACAATTAGACATTAGAAATAAGTAATTACAAAAAAATGTTGAGTTGAGAATCGCTAAATTCGTTGGGGAGAGAGAGACGGACGGATGAGTGGAGAAGGGAGGCGTTTAGAGAGCTGAAATCAGGAGCCAAACATGGGCACATAGATGGCCGCGCAGGTTGATTCCCAAACATCGTTCGGCGTATCCCACGAGTCCTTGCGATGCCACCAATCCTTGCTGTCCAGGTCATACGCCATCGTCTCCGAACTGGCTCGATCTATCGACTCCGTGGAGTCCAAGCCGCCCACAAAAAATATGGTTCGTCTCATCACAGTCACGCCCGAATAGAATTTGGGTGCCGGTATCTGGGTCTCCACGCTCCATGTATTGCTCTCGATGTCATAGGCGTAGATGTGCTGCACCAGCACCCGCGACTCGGTCAAACTCTCGTGCCAGCCGCCGCAGGCGTAGATCCGATTATCGATTGCCACCAGGACGTGATCACAGCAGGGCGTCGGCATCGGAGCCAGCTCCTGCCAGCGTTCTGCCTTTGTGTCAAAGCACCACATACTCGCCAGTATATTGGCCAAATGAATGCCACCGGATATATACAGCTTATCGCCCACAACGACGCCGGCATGTTGACTGCGATTCTCTTGCAAACTGGGCATAAATGTCCACACATTCCGGGCAATATCATATCGTTCCACATTGGAGATCCTACGCATTGCCTCCTCGGAGTAATCATCATGCTCCACAATACCACCCACCGCGTAAAGATGCTGTTTGCCCACGGCATTCAAAGAGAAACGGCAGCGATCCAATTGAATGGGGGCAATTGTCACCCAAGAGTTTCTCAGGGGCAGTAACAGAAGCCAAAGGGATGGATATACTCCTTGAGGCAAACATCATAGGCTCCGCCCACGATGAAGAGTTCGTTGTTTAGGACGGCAGTGCCAAAGTTACCTGAAATATAAAGATATATAGTTTATATAAATCATGAAAGTAATATAAATATATGATGTATAAAGGTTAGCAGAGTTGTCAAAGTTGCACCAAAAGGTCTCACAAGGGTTATCTTTTATTCTCTGTAGACTTATGAATATGTCCTCTCTCTGGGACCAAAGGTGGCTATCAAATTTAGGGATAAATTGTAAAAGAAGCGAACCCAAGAGACCTTTTAAAGTTACTTGTCGATTGGCATGCGAGAGAAGTTGAATAATCAAAACAATTGAGCTTATTTCATGAGTTCTAAAGAGGCGGTCAAGAGAATGACAAGTAATTAAAATTAAATTATGAAGCATATTACTTGTTTAAGAACAGCTAAGATCATAAGTGAATTATGCTATTACACGCGTAGCTCATCTAAACCCTAAATGTCTGTGTGACCTTTAATCTTATTAACCTATATAGGGTAATGTTTTAAGACTACTGCTCACATTGATCGATGTGCGGTATTGAGGTCAACTCATACCACTTCATTTTGGTGGGCGAGAAGCACATTATCACATTGGTCAGTCCCTTCCACTCGAAGCCACCGATCTTCAGCAGGCTGAGCTCCATGCCCCGCATATTTGTGGGTCCCTGTGGCAGTGATTGGTCCTCCAGTGGAACCTTTCCCTTTAGCAGCATCGTTAGATACTCTTCCTCAATGCGATCATAGTAGGCAGTGGGCAGCTGTAGTCGCTTTCCCTCGTCCAGGGAGCAATTTATTAGCCTCATATCGTCCAAAGACTTGAAGTTAATGTGCGGCCAATTGATTAATTTTAGTAGATCCCACAGCGTATTCTCCTCCACTTGCTGTTCCAGGCAATAACTGCAAACCAGACGCACCAGCTCCTGTTCTGTCACATCGATGGGGTAATTACTGGACAGGATAAATCGCAGCTGATCCACTTTGAGATCCTTGAAATCCGGTGTCGCAGAAAACTCTTCGAAGTGAGCGCATATATAGCGATAGGCCCGCTCCGATAAGGCCATCTGTCCATAGATTTCGGCCATTCCGGCAATGGCCAGGCAATTATCCATCTCGATTTCGGTCTCCAGGAAGAAGGTACACCTTTCGATAACCTCACGCACCTGGACATGCGTGGAAGCGGCCAGTATCTCCTCGATATTGTCGGAATTCAGTTCCAGCAGGGATGTGTATATGTAATCGATGATTGAGCCCATTGCCCGTGCAGTGATCCCATAGAGATTTATCTCATCCTGTCGCGATTCGATCATGGCACAGTCGGCGAACATTGCGCAAAAGTAATCGCTGCTGGCCGCCAGGACAACACGATGCGCCTGCAAAAGGATAATGAAGTAATTAGTTAAATAATTTAGTCAAAGAAAGGCAAGCAAATTAATTATTAATGAGGTAAAATAATTGGTATTTGATAACATGTTTGGATAATGGTTTTATTTTATTATTTTCTGTAAAATATAAATATATTTGAAAAGTGATTGTGTGGATCTCATCCCTAAAATTAAATGGTTTAAATTGATTGATAAACATAAAAGATATTTGACTATAAAGTATTGAAACCCAACCTTTTTTTTAGCATCTATAGAAGATTGATCATTATTACTATTGAAAACTTAAGTAATAGTTTACCCCATTTTTTAAATTTAACTATAACCTTAATTCTGAATAAAATTTAGAATTTTTTTAGATTAAAATATGATTATAATTTATATACATTTATTAATTAAACTTGCAACTATAAAGGCATAAACCAAAATATTCCCCTTGATGATTAATTTAATTTTGAAATTTTTTCTTTTCGAAATTGTGGGCCTATTCTTCAGATAAATATTTCTGGGAATTCCTAATTATATATATAGCGGCAGAAACAAATGCGTCATCGACAAAACAAATTAATTTTCGATTTTTGTGTTTTTTATTTATGTTTTCGTTGCTTTTGTTTGTATTTATTTAGCAAGAGAAAGTGAAGATGAGCTTTTTGGTGTCTGTGATTATCACGTCGCCTTCCGCTTTAGCTTTAACTTTATTGTTGCGCTACATTTTAATGAATTATTATATTATATACATATCTGCATATAAATTTGAATAATGACAGTCATTGGAATGGTTTGGATTATTTAAATAGCAATGGAAAGATTTTATACATAATAATAATATAATATATATATTTATTATTAAGGTGTTAAATAGTGCTAGTAGATTAACGAAAGTTTAGTGCGGTTTATGCGGTAACCAATATATGTTATAACGATAAAAAAACTGTGATAAACTTAAGTAAACTTGGTTTATTTAGGTTTAACACAATTACAAACTAAATTTACAAGCATTTCTTTTAAAATTCAACAAAAAATTAGATGTTTTATAGATTCCTTTTTGAAATTTGGTATACAGATGTCTTGATATATATATAATCCATAGGAATAATGAAAAATCCAATTGATAACAATTTTTACTTATAAACCTTATGTTTATAAAAAGAATCCATCTCAAATACCACAGAAAACCTATTGCAAACCAATTGTTTAATCATAATTTACAGTGAAACTTGATCTAGGTTAATTGTTTGGGTTAATTGGATTATCCGTACCTTGAAACGATGATCCTCGACGATCAGCGTGACATCCGTAAGCTTGTCCTCCGTCCGGAGTTTGTTCAAGCCCCGCAAGAGGTTCTCCTCATCGCTGTTCGCGGTTTGCGTCGCCGTTGCCGTCGCTGCCGGCGCTACTACTGCTGGCGTCGCTGCCGTGGCAGACATGGTGTATAAAGATTACCGATCCTCTGTTGATCCGCGTCGACCCCAAGACCGAGAGCCTCAAGGTTGGGGAATCCGTCAGATAAGACCGATTGAACCCAGGGATTCCGATGGCTGATAGCGCGTACGCTGGACGAGGGGTGTAGGGGTGGCGGGCAAACGGGTGAAGAATTGGACGCGGACGGAGTGCGAGCGAGAGCACAGCACTTAATGTTTACACTCGCGGCCAGCGGTCAACTAACTGTTAATAATCGGTGGAACACAAATCGATGGCGAGCTTTAAATAAAAACTAAATTTCTTTTCTTCTCTTTTAAGCAACTCGGATTGTTGATTTATATTTTTGGTAGCAGGGTTGGCAGTATAGCTATTTTCAAGCTAGATCGAGCTAAATTTGAAAATGGAAAAGCTTATGAAATGTGCCATTATCTTATAGCCTTAAAAATTGGTTTTATAATATTAATTTAGCAATAATTGAATTCCTGCATCAACGACTTATTTAATAAAACAAATATATACATATTTTACTGACTTTAACTTTTTTACCACTAGATCTAGCGTTCTTCAGTTGGATTTCCCTGTCACTTCCTACATCCAATTACCCCACTTTAAACCTTACTCTTTTGTAAATTTCCATTGAAATTCTCCCCACACTATTGTTTAAGTTAAAATTATAGTAACAAATACAATAATAAATATCTCAACATTTGTAAAAAAAAAAAACTTATAAAAGATACAAAAAAATAAATTGCCAAATTGTAGTATTTGGCTTTTTGCGAATTTTGCTTTAATTACTACCACTACTAAATACAGTGGTTATAATTTTAGTTTCTTTTAACAACAATCTGCCAAGTTTTTTATATTAATCTTATTTATAGCTTATTTTTACTCAGAATTTAACTTTTACGGATGGTCATAACCTGGCAACACTATTTGTTAGTAAAAGCGCTAGAGCTGGTAGAGAAACGATAGCACTATCGATAATATTTAATATTTTAAGACACCGATGTTTTGTTTTGAAACATCGTTAGTGACTCTAATTAAAATATTGTTACTCATATTTACATTACAAGGCTTTTCTTCAGTAAGAGATACTTCAACGACTAATGGGCAGGAAGTTGCCCCCAATTCACATCGCCGATTTACGTGCTCTTGCAATATTATTGGTAGGGCTACACACGGTCCGACCAAAGAGTGAAGGGAAAGGCATGATGAACGAATTTACATGTTCAAATTTCTTTACTCTTAATAACAGCTTAAAATCTATCACATAATTTAAAACAAATTATATATATATATCAAAATACACATATGAATACAAATAAATGTATACAAACTTCTAAAAAGTTAATATGTTTGAGTTACATTTTCAATATAGAAATTTTATTAAATTCTAGAATATCCAATTCCAATGCTAATTAAAAATTACAATAAGTACTAGTGAATGACTGAAAATATCAGCAGTTAAAAAATATGTTCCCATACAAATTACTTATACGATATTTTCTTAATTTTCCAAAGTCGCTTAAAATACAAACTGAATGGCTGCAAAGCCAGTGCGGCTAAAAACTTATTATAAATCGACGATTTTAATTGCTAAATGAGGAATAAACAAATTAAAAAAATTTAAATAAACTTAAAGATAACAGAATAGACAAGGTATATTCCATGTCTTTCGACTGCGTTTTTGGCTGACATTGAGCGGTGGCATTTTTTCTTCGTTCTCTGCTTAATATATCGCCAAACATCGCCGACATATTCATTAATTCAGCAATTCAGTCGTATAGGGATCATCCTGGATACGTTATTTTGCAGTTTTTATTAAAAAAACTAAAATAAAAATAAATCTGCATGACGACACTCGATTTTAGTCCCAATAGTTATCGCTTATCGAATTAATAGCCAAAATGGATCGAGGCTGGGCTAAACTCTCAGCCAAGTTCTGAACCGGGTGGATGTGCCCGCGCTAGGCAATGAAACGCGCTAATGAGACCAAACAAATGGTGTGTCCAAGTTATTTTCTGCCCAGCCGCGCCCGGTCACTCTGCTCGCGACATCGAAAGCAAGAAAATCGAGTGGAAAGCGGAGAGAGAGAAGTAAAACAAAAAAGCAAAAAAACAGCGAACCTGCACACATTTAAATTAATTAAATGCCTAAATGCTGCAGCCGAACGCGAGTGCGTGTGCGAAATTCGGTGTAATAAATTAATAAACGTAACAGCCGCTAAAGTGTCGCGTGAAATTTTTTTCTTGTGAAAGGAAAAGGCGAAGTGTTAAAAAAAGTGCGTCCACAAAAAAGAAACGAAAAGAAAGAGATAAAGGAAGCCAAAAAGAGCGGTGGCAGGCAAAAACAAAAAATGCAATAAATAAAACAAACACATAGTTCAATATCATTGCTGAAGTACTATTTTCCATCGTTTTTTGTAAGGTTTTCTTTTTTGTTTCTGAACATTTTTTGGTTGCCGCCAGAACAGCAACAACAACAACAGCAAACGCTGAAGAAGCAACAGTAAGAAGAGGAAGATGGGGCGAGAAGCAGCGGCAACAAGAACAACAAATGCATAAATGTGAAAGAAATGGAAATTTTGTTATTATTTTTGTCTTTTGTTTTTGCAAATGCAATCATTTTTGAAATTGTCGCGTTGTTGTTTTCTCACTCTGTCTCCCTAGCCCCTGCTGCTATCTCTTTCCTGCGCTACAACCTTTAAGAGCAGGAAGAAGAGGCAAAGCAATTACGAAAGGAAAGAAAAGAAGCTGCAAAGACTCATGTGCGTGTGTAGGTGTGTGTGTGTGTGGTTTTTTTTTTTTTTGAGTGCCCGAGTGTTTGTGTGTGAGAGCGCGCCACATGAGGAAATTGGCAGCAGCGACGCCAGCAGCGGCAGCGCGTAGTTACCAAAATATAAAAATTGTACTAGCAAAACAACATAAAAACAACAAGAAACCGTAGAAACAGTCAAGGACAAAATGAAAGCACCACCAAATATAGTTCACTTCAAAAATTATGTAATATTTGGGATTTATTTAATTTTTTACTCCTAAAAAATATAAAGAATAATTGTATAAATATAACAAATTGTTCTGAAACTATTAACCAATCTTAAAGTAATTACAATTAATTTAACGAGGTGCTATAAACTCGACCTTAACTGTTTATTACATTTGTTTATTTTGATATAGTTCTTTATTTCATTTTCCCTGCTACTGACTCACGTTTCGCTGATAAGAAGAAGAGAAAATAAGGCAGTATAAGGAGACGAATAAAACAAAGAGTAGAGCAGAAAAAGGATTGCGGAATTTCCTATAATAATAAACAAGAACAAAATATATTCGCTTATCAGCAAATTTTTAATATGATTTTGTGTTTTTTTGTGCGTGTTTTTCTCTCTAGTTTGCATGAACAGCTACAAATGACAACAACAAAAATGTGTAAACAAAAAATAATAATGAATCAAGAAATGTAATTTAAATAAACGAAGGAAAAACGACGAATTTAAACGAAATTAAAAGCTGCTTTTGGGGTAAGTTAATTCCAGTGTAATTACAATTTGTTGTAAATCTAAACAAGAAAACAATCGTCAAAGATTAAGGGAAAGAGAATGAAGAAGATGAGTAAGAGAAGTAGCAGCACTATGTCTCTTTCGCCCTCTTCCTTTATGTCCTATCTTTATTGGTCCTTCTCTCGGCTCCCTCCTTTTTGATGACTTCTGCCATTTCCCGTTGTTCGCCAGCAGCGAAAGTTGTCTTCCTGCCTTTTGGTCTCTTTTTAGTTTTGTTGTTTTTGTTTCGTTTTTTTTTTTTTTTATTGTATTATGTGTTTTATTGTGTTCTTCACGTTTCGAACCATCTCCTTTTTTCTTTTATTTTTTTGCTACGTTATTTTATCCGGAGAAATGCAAATTGGGTGAACTTTGTTTTGGATTTACCAAGAATTTGCAGTGGAAAAGATTTTTTTTTGGAAAAAAGAAGATATTATTACGAATACAGGTCATCATTTTGGAATATAAAATATTACAAATGATACTTTTAGGAATAGAAATATTTTATATAAAGAATACTTGTTAAATACTAGTTTTTATTGGTTTTTAGTGCATTTAAAAATCCGTTTTCTTTTGATTTAGGATTAAAATGTTGAATTACTATATTTATTTATTTTTTACCCTTGCAGGGTATTATAATTTTTTCTCAGAAGCTTTAGTAATTGCCTTAAATTTGTGTCAATTTTTATTTGAAGTTTTACCCAAGTACATAATAATGTTTGTTTTAGGCAAATAGATAATTAACCCAAATTATTGGCTAATTTCCATGTAAGCACAGTAATTTGCATTCGATATTTAATAATGATCGCTGGATTTGTGGATATTTTCTTCTCTTGCATTTTTTTTGCTAAAAAATAACCAATTACCTTTACCTTTACCTTTTCATTTCATTGACATTGCCCTGAACTTGAAGACAATAAACAAACGACAAGCAAATAAACACAATACTCTACACACGCACACACACCACAACAGTGATGGGGTTTTGTCTCTTCGTCGTCTCTTTTTCAAATAGTAGTAAAAGTCAATAGATAATTACGTATAATGAGCAAAGAATTACATTGCCCAATTGGCAATTATTGCAACAATAGTTAAATAATAATAACGGGCATTTTGACCGAATCACGAATTGTAAGAAAATTCGACTCTTTTCGCCGGACTTCGACTTCGAGTTCGAGTTCGACTTCGACTTTGGTTGCTGTTACTGTTATTACCACCATCGCTCCATGGGTTAATGTATTTTAATCTTTTTTTGTTGTTGTTTTTGCCGTTGTTATTGTCTTGGTCAACACGCAAGAAGCAAAAGTAACACAAGAAAAAGAAAACATACAGCAGAGGGCTGGCAAAGAAATAAAAACAGTAACAAAACGAAGTTACATAAAACCTTGGAGTTGCACTGAGGGAAATTTTTGTATATTTCAAGTAAAAATAGTTGCCAAGTCCTTGGAATTGGTATTTCAAGTTTATTGTCAATAGAAAGTGGTAAATGGTTGCGTTTAACAGAAACTACATTGATCATTGATCACTAATCACTGAAAGATTTTTTACGATAGTACTGATAAACACAATATGATCACTGATCATGATACGTGTTTTTTTTTCTTTGGATCATCAAAAAAGAAGTGTTAAAATAGTAGTTATATCGGTTGAAATATTGTTAACAATAATCACTAATTATTAATAATCTGTTGATCACTGATCACTGATAGATTTCTTACGATAGTTATGATCACTGATTATGATGCAAGATTTTTTCCATTATGCAGATCATGATAAAAAAAAGTGTTAAAATATAAGTTATATCGTTGATTTAAATGTCATTGAGAATAATAAAGGAATTAAAGGAATGCAAACCAGCAAAACACACTTGATCACTGTATGTCTATTCCGGTGATCACTGATCAGTTGTTCTGTTGTTTATAATACGAGCGCACCTGTTTCTAAAAATATTGAAAAGTCGAATAGAATTAATTCTAGTTTATCATTAGTACACAATTTTATTCTTTTCCTTTATATCTTAATGTAAAATCAGCAACTAATGTCTAAAAAATATGGAAAAGTCGAAAAGAATTAATTCTAGTTTATCATTAGTACACAATTTTATTTTTTCTTTTATATCTTAATGTAAAATCAGTTATATTTCAAAAGGTTTCCAAATAATTAGGAGGAATCACCATCATCTACCATCATCTTTAAATACTTTATAGCATCTTCTATCCGATTTCTCTCAGTGTTGGCTTGGAGGAGGGGGCCTGGGAACTGCTGTCCTCACCTTTTGCTTTAAGCCTGATGGAAGCAAACGAAGCACGAGCCGCCTTTTTAACTTAACTCAAACTCAAACTGAAACTCAGACTGAAGCTCTCTGCTCAACGTGAGGCAAACGAACTCGAACCTCGAACCCGACTTGCCCAAGTCGCTTGATTAACCTTCTTTTTTTATTACAATATTTTTTCGTTGACTTTTTGTTTTTGTCATGGTTTCAAGGCGGCCACGTTCGGGATGGGAAATTAAATGAACTGCAATTACTGCACCCAAAAACAAAAAATCCAAAAAAAAAAAAACTAAAATAAAATAAAAAAACTAAGAAAGAGAATGGAAGTTTGAGGCAGATAGGATCTGTGGGGCTATAAAAGAGAACAGAGTTCAAGGGAAGAGAGTCAATCTAAAGACTTTACTTGACAAGTACAGTAGTTTTATGGCAATAGTTATTGTAGTGATTTATTCACTAAATGATATTATTCATACAAAAAAAGAAAGGAAAGAATTTTAGCACCTGTTTGGTGATGTTTGGTTTTCAATCAAATTAAACAGATAAAAAAGTTTCTGGTACTTAAAAACAGCTTTAGCAAAACTTTAGATAAAGATTGTTGAATCAGAATAAATTCATGCACAATGCATTCCTAAGTATATAATATATGTATTATATTTTAAACCTAAATATTAGGTCGTTTTGTTAAGCAATTCATTGCCTATTTAACAATTATAATACAAATGATTTTTATTAATGTTCATCTAAAAAAGCACTATACTTGCTTTTCTTGATTTATGTATTTATTTAAATTTTTTATACCTTTGAAGGGTATTATAATTTTTTCAGTGAAGGAGTTATTTGTTATCCGATTAATCATATACATTTTTAATCAGCATCATCAGACGATTCGATCTAGCCATGTCTGATTTGTAAACCTTATAAAAACTATCATAAAATAGCTTTTCACTTTAAAATGAATACATTTTTGACTATTTTATGATTGATTTTCAGTAATCAATCAATTTCCATGTACAATTTTCAAAATTTGCTTTCTTTCTAGTTTTTAATAACATTCATAATATTCATAATGTTCCATGATACATTCATTTCGTTATACCCTTGAAAAGAGTATTATACATATTTTCAACTATGTAAATAATTGAAAACGAATATTCTGAATCAGCAGCAACAGCCCAATCGATCTAGTCATGTTTATTTTTTATGCAATTATCGAACTATTTAAATTTTAATTTAACACAATACGCTTTTTGCTATAGAAATGAATAAAAAGCAAGTACTTTCCTATACTCGAAATACATTAATCACACAATTAAATCACAAATTGCAAGGGCATACACACTTCGTCTGTTCGTTGTTTATATATTTTTTAGTGTATATATTTATTTGTTTTTTTTTTTTTTGTTCTCTATTACTCATTTAGTGTTGTTGGTTGGTTGCTGACTCGTCGGTTAATTAAGCTCGCCGGACATTTGTCAACAGCTTGTCGTTGTTCTTTTTGTTACTTTTGTTTGGCTTTTGTTGTAAGAGTCGCGTGAAATTTACAACGTTATACAATTTAAATACTAGAATTAACCAATTGTGTTTGTTGTTGTTGTGCTTGTTGTTGCATGAAACAACAATGACACTAAAAAAGCAAAGTAAGAGCGCTGAGTTTATTGTGGAACATGACAAAACCTCTCAGCTTATCAAATTCTACTCATTCGAATTGTTACAAATGCAATTAGAATAATGTAAAAGTACTGAGTAACACACTATTTATCAGGTATTACAAATAAGAGAGAGTTGTACGTTATATATTTAATAAGACAAATTTAAATAATATAGAATATTAGGTAAATGTTTGACTACAAATAATGTTTTGAAGAAATTATTCACTGCATCTTTTTTACTATCCATCTTATGCTAAATTTGTTCTCAAAATAGTCTTTAAATAATTATGCAATTATATTTTACATATAACCCCCTTAAAAAAGCTTTTCTTGGCTTATATTTACCATCTTATTAATTGTGTTAGAAATTCATTGCCAAAGTGCCCCACACAGCTGCAACATTTTCATGTGGACACTCTCGTATATATATTTCTACATATATTAATAATATGAAACATTTAATAGCTTAGCAACCGATAAAATGTTTTACGATAATGCGCCAGAAGTCAAGAGCAGCGAAATACTCTTGTTAAATAATTTTTGTGTAATTCTTTGGCATAATTTAACTATTTGATAGTTTCATTTCCGCTTTTTGTACCCCAAAAAAATAGGTGATTTTAGAGAGAAGAAGAGGTTACATGTTTTTTATAAATAAATAAAGAAATTACCGTTGATTATTTAACTAATATAAAAGTACACTTTTAGTATAAATAAAATAACCTTTATATATAATCATTTTCTAAAAATCCCTCCCATTTTGTTCTGTGTAATAAAATTTCATTTACTTGCCGTCGCTCTTGTTGTTATTCTTTTTTCCTCTGCAATTGCCGCATTTCCTATTTTCACGTTCCAAAGTTTTTGTCATTTCATTAGAAACTTACTTCTTCGCTTATCTTTAAAAAGACGAGAAGAACAAGACGAAAATGTAGAGAAGACAGTGAATAATATTAAAGCAACGAGCAAACGACCTTGGCATTCTTTTTGTTCAAGTGAAAACAAATCTAGAGTAGGGCAAAAGAAGAAAAATTAACATCGGTTTTTATATAGCACGCAGTTTTATA